TTGGGTTGGGAAGTTCTCCCCCCACCCACCATATTCTCCAGATATGGCACCATCAGATTACTATCTTTTTCGTTCGCTGCAACACCATCTTAATGGGAAAACGTATGCAAATGTGGGAGGTGTTAAGGTGGACATCGACATGTTTTTTGCTTCAAGTTATTTCTTTAATCAGGGCATTAACAACTTGATTGTAAGATGGAAAAGTATCATCGATAAGAATGGAGATTATTTCATTTAATAAATGTTTTGTTTTGATTTATAAGTTGTTAGGGTTTTTCATCTAAAAAAGCGGCATTAATTTTTTGAAGACTTAATACATTTGAAATTATTATAATTATCCAATCTCTATTTCTGCTGTTTTGTCCTTGTAAAGTTTTCTGCCCCATATATGGTCTCTTCAGTTATATATATATTGTCAAAATACAATAATTAAAGTAAAAATATGATAATAATGTGGAATCTCGAATATGCAGTTGAATATATTTATGTTTGTAGAATTTTTAAAAACTCACTGAAAATAGACTAAGTATGCATACATACACCAAAAAAATCCCAATAAAAAGAAACAAAGCTACAAGTTACACAACAAACCTTTATTAATGACTAGACTGTAATAACTAATACTCGTCAATACACCAACTAACATTTAACAGATTAATTCTAACTCGTACAGTCTGGTATTTTTATTTCACAAATGTTCGAGATTCCACTAAAGCCTATACTTTCAAGAAACTTGTCAGGAAATAAATTACTCTAACTATCATGTATTATGTAAACTATACTTTATAAAAACCTTAATTCAATTTAATTAAGTTATCACATACTGATACATCAACAGATGTCAAATTAGGGTGACATTCTTTTCAATGCTTTATGTTACTAAAAGCCTTTTTTTTATCATAGAACAAAAGTCCATTGTATCACTTGACCAACCTTACTATAATAAAATATAACCATGATGGCCAGTCAAAACGTTTATAATCCTAGCAAGTCTATATTAGTAAACTAATGTAACCCTAGAATACCAGCATGGTTAGTTTAGTTTACAGGTTTAATTTGTATGAGGTCATAGTGACCCCATACTGAAAGTAATATTCTGCATCTATATAAAAAGCCAACTAAAGTTAAATAAATATAAAATAAATGCATAAACTACCCACTCAATCTGCAATTTTGTAACTCTTAAACAGAGATACTTCTGCTAAAAAAAAAACTTCCTATGTCATCTCACTTGCTCAAATACAATAGGGCATATGATTGTGACTATTCCTGACGAGAGTGAAGTCAAATAACGGTTGAAATGTATGTTTTCTTCCAGTCATTTTATACTGTTCTGAAAAATTCGACACAATTCTACCGCAAGTTTAAAACAAGAACAAATACGTTCTCTTTTAGGGGCGTGCAATATCATACATATAACCTGTTATGATAAAAATAATATTAGATGTTATGTAAGTCAACTAATCCAAATGTATCAACATTCTGTTCTTTCTCAGTATGATGAAGCGTACGTAAACCAATTACGTAAGTATTAATGTCACCTTCTGAATATGGTATTAACAATATGATAAATTGTATCACTATCACTTAGTATTTCTTCTACTCTTTATAAACAATTTCATGTTTATTTTTGAATTAATCAATCCGCCAGACCATTGCCTACTTCTTATATCATGCATTATATCTTGGACATTTTTTTTAGCCTAGTGTTTCTAAATTATATACTGACTGATACTGATTAAAACCAAAATATGACTCCCAAGGTTTGGGAATATTCTACCCAGATATACTTCCATATTGGTTACTAAGTTAAATCTAATCCTATGTAGGTTCTTAGATATTATATTGTGTATTAGACGCGGTTTATTTAAAATTATTAACATTTGAAATAAAAGTAAATCACAGTTCATATTAAATGGAAATTGTTTCCTTCTATGTAGAAATAAAGTATTCATACTAAGCATTATATTGATTTTGACTTATACTAGAAACTAATGAATAATAAAACAGTACGATAATTATGTTTTTTTATTGAAATTCTAATTAAAAAAAATCTTCGTAATTTATGTTTGTTTCTTTGTAATTAAGCACAAAGTTACACAATTGGCCATTTCGGCTCTGCCCACCACGGGTATCGAAACCCGGATTCTAGCGTTGTAAGTCCGCAGACATACCGCTGTGCCACTGGGGGGCCACAATTTATGTGCTTGGAATGAAAATCCTGTAACTAAAACCTAACATGTTTTGATCCATGACATTTTAACAATCATTTTTGCTGATCATATTCTAAGAAAACACAATCTGATTTAATTTTATGCAATATCTAATGATCTGCATATCATAAAACTACTATTTTTTATTTATTTTTTGTACTTAGAAACTTTTCATTAGAGCTTATGACTATAGAAAATTAACTTTGTGAAGAAATATATATTTTTCATCAAACTAAGTTTGCAACGACTTACAAAGATATTACAAGTTCCCCGATGGGATAACGGTAAGTTTACGTACTTACAGCGCTAAAACCCGGGATTCGCCACAGTAGAGAACTCAATCTGGCTTTGGTCTAAAGTAATCAACCAACCAAACCATTACAAAATATTTTCACTTAATTATATTATTACGAAAAGCACTGGTAAAATATTATATGTGTATATAATGAGATTTAATTTTGTAAAGAACTAAAAATGAAAAAATATACTTGAAAACTAAAAACGCAGCCACAAAACAAATATTCAACACCGGTGCACAAATCACAGGGTGGTTCATTATGTAATGTGCCGTGGTTTTTTTAGGCATCAGAGAAAGTTAAACACCAATTGCATTGGAAGTACACCGTCTATCTGGTTTAACCACAATTTTGTCGATCTCACATGTTAAAAAAAAAGAAAGAAGGAGACAAAAAGCAGATGTGGCTTTATATTTGTGTTCAAGCCATAATAACCCAACCTACGATTTGTGCCCCTGAGTTGGTTATTTGTTTTGTGGCTGCGTTTTTAGATTTTCAAGTATATGTTTTCATTTATTTATTTTTCTCCTTCTCTACAAAATTAAATCTAATTATATTTCACTTGAGGTTTGGATATGCTGTGTAAAATTCTCACTCTCTCTTTCCTTTTGATGTAATCTATTTACAAAACTTTTGTAGCTTACTTATATAATTAGTGTTAATGAATGTCGTGTGTTGCTGTATTGTATTAATTTACGCACCTACCCATTTAATTTTCTTCTTTATTTTGTAATTTTATTTAAATTAAGGACACTAATCATCCACCATGTGTCAATTATAATCAGCCTAACTAGCTGTTTATTAGTTTGTTTGTTTTTCTTCTGGTTACAAATGATATATATGTGTGTGTGTGTATCAAAAATTCCCTCTAGCGGTGAGCATTTTAGATATATTCGTACTAATCTACGAGCCTAATTTTCCTGTTATTGTTAGGGTTAGAAGGTGAAGGTTTTATCACTTAAATGTATCTCTTTTTAAGTTCTAAGTTTCTGACTTGTGAGAGTTTATGGTTAGGTTTGATATACTAGTGCCTTAATCGTGTAATCTGAGTGAAGAAAGCGGTTAATTAAAAATTGCGTTTTATTTGAAACTTAAAATCTCAACATATTAATTCAGGATGTCATTGTTAATTTTTATTATTTTTACTATTTAATTTTATGTTCAATTTCATATTTTAAATTCGTAAGTTACATTTTAAGTTTTGACATATTGTTATTATAATTATGTTAGTTATCCAACATCACCCACAAAAAATGTGAAGGAAATAATCTTATGTTACAAAATTCAACTATACTTTTCATTTGTGTTTAGAATTTGTATTCTTATCGGTCTGTAACTTGTAACTTATGTGGTATATCTTCATTTCAAAACACTTATTTGTGTATATGCTAATAAATAAAAAATGGTGTTTATTATATTATTATTAGTGGTATATCTTTTTCTCTTGAAAATTTCAATAAACACTTTTAATAGTTACAGTTCTGAATGTAACTTTCTTTTCTGTTAGAACTAATAGTCATAAATCAAGCTTCAGAAATATAGTTCTTGCTGAATACACTAATTTATTTTAATATCTTGACATGAGAACGATAGTTTTATGGTTTCATGCAGGTGCTGCAACTTTGTTTTCCATTTGGGAAAACATCACCAGAATGGGAGACTTGAAGCCTCAGCAACAAGAAGCTGAGATGAAGGGTTGGTTACACAAATGGACAAATTATTTAAAAGGATATCAGAAACGTTGGTTTGTCCTTTCAAATGGACTGCTGTCATACTACAGGTGAGTAAGTTTATTAAAGTGTCACATACTGAAGGGTAAAGTGCCAAGTTACTGTTTTAAAAGTTAAAGGTCTTATACTTTTTGTCCTGATAATATCAGTGATTTTGTAAACAATGTGTTAATAAGCTGACAGATACTTGAAGCTGCAAAAGGACATCTCAAAACGTTTCTCATAATGAACAACAATTTACCCAGCCTTGTAATCATCCCTTTAATACATTTTTTATTCCAAAATCATTTGTAATCATGATGAAGTTTGTTCTTAAAAGAAAAACACACATATAGGGTCTTACCATAGACTGTCAGATCTATTAAAGATTTTAATAAATAAACATTTTATTGCTAAACCTGGTAGATCATAAACATATTTCTTGTTAAGAAAAAAAAGAGTGAATCCTCTTGAGTACACCCTATCCACTGCAAATATCAGTTATTACTGTTCACAGATGTTCTTGGTATAGTTGGAAAATGTATTGGTAGGTAATTGTATTTTGAAAGGTAAGTTCAATAAACTGTGATTCACCTATCAGTTTATTAGGTCTTAGTAATGTACTTCTGAAATTAAAACATTATTCAGTATTGTGTTTGATATTATCTTAATGATTTGCAGGAACCAAGCAGAGATGGCTCATTCCTGTAGGGGAACCATTAACCTAGTGAGTGCTGTCATCCATACAGTTGATTCATCCAACTTTATAATATCCAATGGTGGTACCCAAACTTTCCACCTCAAGGCTACTAACGAGATCGAACGTCAGAGGTGGGTAACTGCTCTGGAACTTGCGAAAGCCCGAGCCATTCGTATTACAGAATCAGGTTAGTAAAAACCTTGTAGATTTCTTACAAAGATGGAAGTTTATTTCATAGTTTCAATACCAGCAGGATGTTGTCTGTATGTTTGTTTTCATGCTTACACTTTTTTGACTGATCTCAACCAAGTTGGTATACCCTCTTAACGCCACTCAGGGAGTGTCATAGGGGGTCAGGTCTGATTCTCCAATTCACTCCTTGGGTAGCCTGTCTGGCTTGTCTTTCATAACTTAAGTTTGTGAACAATCTCAACAAAATTTGGCATGCACTCTTAGAACTTCCAGGAATGACATAGATAGGGTCAACATTTGTAACTGACCCATCAGTGTCACCCCCCTAGCCCATATATTCACCTCTACTCATCTTTGACGTAGGTTGGCCAGTATTCAGATCTAGTCCCCCTTTGCCACTGACCAGATACCCCTATATATGAATGGGTACATCAACTAATACACATAGGGTGAAGTATATTGTGTTTCTGTTGTGATTAAAACAATTCTGTTCTGTAACATTTATATTTACAAGCATACTGACTTAACTCTGTGTTGCGAACAGACACTATTGCTATTCAGTAATGATTCTTTGGTTTATAATCTCAAAGAAAATACCATTTTGCTTTAACAACTTTGTGATATTCATTTACTTTTTGTAATTTTGAAAATATGGGACAACTAATTTTTCTAATAAAGCAACCAAAATGTTTTTTGAGTAAAAGAAAAAAAGAGAGAGATTCTAACAAATTAATATTTAATAATGGCACTCTAGGCAACTACAATCATTAGATTGTACAGTATTTTACAAGTTAGTCAAGTGGTTTGAGTTTTTACCTAAAGAACTGAGGGTGCAATTTATACTGTCATCGATTTAAATGTAAACATTTTACAAGTACCTACAGAGAAATGGAGCTTGTTACAAGATTAGTAGAATGTTTTTACTTACTAACTCAACAGTGTAAAAAAACTTGCTCATTATCATAAAATTGGAACTTTTTATCTGTGAGGATGTTTATGGATGTTTCTCATAACCTAAAGAAACCACTGTAACCCACTGTAACTATGAGAAACATCCATAAACATCACCTAAAGAAACCACCGTAACAGTGAGAAATATCCATAAACATCACCAAAAGAAACCACTGTAACAGTGAGAAACATCCATAAACTTCACCAAAAGAAACCACTGTAACTGTGAGAAACATCCATAAATATCACCAAAAGAAACCACTGTAACTGTGAGAAACATCCATAAATATCACCAAAAGAAACCACTGTAACTGTGAGAAACATCCATAAACATCACCTAAAGAAACCACTGTAACTATGAGAAACATCCATAAACATCTTTCTTTAGGTGACGTTTATGGATGTTTCTCATAGTTACAGTGGTTTCTTTAGGTGATATTTATGGATGTTTCTCATAGTTACAGTGGTTTCTTTAGGTGACATTTATGGATGTTTCTCATAGATAGTGATTTCTTTTGGTTACGCTTATGGATGTTTCTCATAGTTACAGTGATTTATTTTAGTGACGTTTATGGATATTTCTCATAGTTACAGTGGTTTCTTTAGGTGAAGTTTATGGATGTGTTCTCACTGTTACAGTGGTTTCTTTAGGTGATGTTTATGGATGTTTCTCATAGTTACAGTGGTTTCTTTAGGTGACGTTTATGGATGTTTCTCATAGTTACAGTGGTTTCTTTAGGTGACATTTATGGATGTTTCTCATAGATAGTGATTTCTTTTGGTTACGCTTATGGATGTTTCTCATAGTTACAGTGATTTATTTTGGTGATGTTTACATTATTTTTGATTGAATACATATTTTGATATAATAAGTTCACTTAGTATACAGCACTAAAAGTTTTGGTACAATGGTATGTTTATTCATGGCTTTTCAAAAGTTGTGCTGACGTGTCTTTGTTCTGATAATTTCTTTAGAGGACGAAGAAGACTATGATTTAGTCCCTACTCAGTCAGACAAGAATGAACTACAGACAATGTTAAAGTTGCTTAGTGCAAAACTGGAAGACTTAACTACTTGTAATAATCTGATCATCAAACATGGCACGGCCTTGCAACGTTCTCTTACGGAACTCGAACAGTTAGAAACTGGCTCCGATTCAACGGCTAAAGTCAAAGCTGTCAATGAAAGAGCTACTCTCTTTCGCATTACATCTAATGCAATGATTAATGTAAGTACTTGATTTCCAAGTAGCTGTTCCTTGGTGTGAGTAAAAGCTATAATATAATATCTAATCTAACATCAATGTTTTGGAAATGTTGCCAAAAGTATTCTGTCAATAACAAGTGTAAAATAAATCACAACTTTCCTGTTTTGTGATTTACTTAGAGGATTCAACTTGAAGGTATGTTTATAGGTATTTAGAATATTTCTGTTCGTCCGATAACGCGAGAATATAACCTTGATTTATTCATGGGATATAAATATTGAAAATTATTCTACTGTTCGTAAAATTCTACTCAAAACACTAAGAGTCATGATATTAACAATTATCAGTAAATATTTGCTTTTCGTACATTCCACAAGAACACACATTTTATTATAGCTGTTAAGTAACACTTTAATCAACTTAATTAATTTCAACATTTCTTGTAGGAAATGCAGGCAAATTATTAAAATTATTGAGAAGTTATTGTTATATTTTTAAGTATTTCACGTTATGTTTGTTAAAACTATAAACGGTTTTTGTAGAGCTGTGTACACGTAGAGCATTTGAAGTTTAATTCTCACTATGTATTTTGAACTATCTAGAAACTTAAATAAAAAATCACTGTTTGTTTTAGCACCATGCCAGCTGCCCTGAGATTTGTTGTTATTCAGATTCAAGCCGAGTATGCCCCGAGTAGCACAGTGGTATGTTTGCTGACTTGTACCACTAGTAACCAGGATATGCCCCCAGTAGCACGGTGGTATGTTTACTGACTTGTACCTTACTGGGGGCATATCCCGGTTACTAGTTATATGATGACCTAGAAGAGTTTTGTATTTTGTCATATTTCTAGAATTTTAGCAGCTCTTCTGGTAGAAATTATAATATAATTACATTCAACTTCTAAGGTTAAAATACTCTAATATAACAGCAGAAGTTGTTTGTTATTAAGCACAAAGCTACAGAAGGAGATATCTGTGCTCTGCTCACCACGGGTATCGAAAACCTGGTTACTAGCGGTACAAGTCAGTAAACATACCACTGTGACACTTAAACACATGAATGGCTTAAGGTCTGAAAACACCACTAGCAGTGAGGGTACCGAGTTCCTTTTGTTGCCTCTTTAGCAATCTGTTCCAGATGCGAGTGTTGTTTGGCCAGTTGTTCAACCATCTCTTCTAAACGAAGACGTTGCTCATGCTCGTACTGTAACATCTTTTGCCACTTTTGAAGCTGAGACTGAGCTAGTTGAACACATTCAGAACAAGCCTAGAGAATTGTTTCAAAATTCAATACAAGTACAACCAACTATTAACTAAAATAACCTTCATTGCTGAGGAAATGAAAGTGAATCCTTCTTTTACTAATACTTATTGAATGCTGACTTTCTTATGGTATCAAAAAGTTATAATCCTACTTGTTTTTAGAAACTGGATGTTTTTATCCAAAATTAATAGTCTTCAAATCATAAACTAATGTTTACAACCCTTCTTTGAAACTAATAAATGACTCACCCACAGGACTAACAACTTGTCACAGGTTTGTTAGTCCTATGGGACGATCACTCGAGAAATGAGTATTAATAAGGGTTATACAGCTAATCAAAGGTTTTAGTCCTGCAGGACAGTCACTTTTAGAAATTATTTTGATAAAAGGTTGTGACTGACCAGAGATTTCTGTTAGTCTTTGAGGTAGTCGTTTTAGAAATGAGTTTTGAAAAAAAAAGTTGTGTGACTAATTAGAGGTTTTCCTCTTTGTCTCATTCTGAATATTAATTAGAGTATACTTCTGTTTGAAACACATTATAAATAGTTTTTACTATTTCTTGATGTTCCTTACTTGTCCATGATGTAATTAGCACTGTTTTATCGAAATATAAAATTTACCATTCCATTCACAACCAAAACATTACTTTCTTCTGTTCAAACTAAACTATTTATTTAAATTAACTTCTACTTGTTATGACTTGGGAAACAATCTGTAATTTTAAGAAGTTCATTTACAAAAAAAATAGATAATTGTAATTTGATGCAAGTGTATGTTTGTGAATCAGATCTCCATGTAAGTACATATGGATTCATTTGTGAATGAAAAGAGAGGTCTAATCTTCATTGTGTAATTTATGAAATTTTTCACAGTATGCAATGTTTTAAGTGAGATGAATTGTTATTAATAACACTAAGAACAACCTGTGTTTACTGGGATGTATGATGATAAGAACCTGATATAATTGTTTCACTTTCTAGCTACTTATTCTGATGATGATGAATTCTATGATGCTGAAGAACATACAACTGGAGAGTTTTTAGTAACTTTACCAGGAAAGGGGCATCGGTACGTTTCAAAGCTCTGAATAAGTTCTCATGAGATAATTTATATAGAAAGGTTTGGTTTTTTTAAGACTATCACTAACATTTTAATATACATTTCTGGAATTTTTAACTTCTAAAAGTGGTTTTCAAGTGTATATTAGTAATTATCAGTAAGAGGAAAAAAATTCAAGTTTATAAAGATGTTGGAATAATTGTCATGTAATGACAAGTAGTTATTCTCAAAATATTTGATATTGTATATATTGTTGGATAATCACCTGGACTTTATTAACTTGTAAAACCCTCCAAGAAATTGTGTGGTTAACTTGAGCTTAGATAGAATCACCTGGACTTTATTAACTTGTAAAATCCTCCAGAATTTGTGTGGTTAACTTGAGCTTAGATAGAATCACCTGGACTTTATTAACTTGTAAAACCCTCCAGAAATTGTGTGGTTAACTTGAGCTTAGATAGAATCACCTGGACTTTATTAACTTGTAAAATCCTCCTGAAATTGTGTGGTTAACTTGAGCTTAGATAGAATCACCTGGACTTTATTCATTTGTAAAATCCTCATTCAGTAGCCTGCTGTTGATGATATAGTGATGTCAGTAGCCTGCTGGTGATGATATAGTGATGTCAGTAGCCTGCTGGTGATGATATAGTGATGTCAGTAGCCAGCTGGTGATGATATAGTGATGTCAGCAGCCAGCTGGTGATGATATAGTGATGTCAGCAGCCTGCTGGTGATGATACAGTGATATCATTAGCCTCTGTGCATGGTAGTGAGTAGATCTAGGCAGTTAGTGGAATGGATAATTCATTAATCAGTTACATTCAGTTAATTTGTGGAATGGATAATTCATTAATCAGTTACATTCAGTTAATTAGTGGAATGGGTAATTCATTAATCAGTTATATTCAGTTAATTAATGGAATGGATAATTCATTAATCAGTTACATTCAGTTAATTTGTGGAATGGATAATTCATTAATCAGTTACATTCAGTTAATTTGTGGAATGGATAATTCATTAATCAGTTACATTCAGTTAATCTATTATTCTAACATGAGCCTTGGATAGTTAGATTAATTAAAAATATGAATAATTGGAAACTAATTTCAATTAGTTGATTGTTTTTGTGAGTCAGGACACCAATCAATTATGCTGAACAACTTTCAATTGATCAAAAATAATAAGAGAATCATATTCAGATTACTTGAATAGTTGGAATGATCAGAAAGGCTAATTTGAATCTATAATATTTGATCATTTTCCTTACAGTAATGGAGTTAATCTTCCAGCTCTAGTAATGAGTTGCTTTAATAGATTAAATGTTATTTTCAAAACATTTTGATTGGTTTCAGTATCATAAAAATGAAAGACATGGTACCTATCCCTTAGGCCTAGAACATGGTATTTGTAATGTTATACTTACAACTTCAGTTATGTTAGCTGGAAGATGAGTTAACTGTAGGTAGAATCAGCCATAAAGATCAGGGGTGGAATAATTCTTGATTAATGTGAACTTAGTTTCTGGAAGAAGTGTTTATAAGCAACTTTACCAAACAATACTTATGATAAGACATTAGTACTCGCTATTACGTTCTTTATTCAGTCCTTTAGGGTTTTTTTCAAGAAGAAACGTGTATAATAGTATTTTAACCACACTATGTCCATCACATCCATTGCTAACAGTGTATATAGCTCTATACAAATCTTGTCAGCATTGGATATGATGGACATAGTGTGGTTGAAATACTGTTATACACTCATCTCCTTGAAAAACACCATAAGGGACTGAATAAGGAATAGGCCTAGTACATATATCTTATAACAAGTATGATTTTTCATGGTGACCAATTTCTATATTTAACAATTCATAATTTTATTTTGTTTTTAGGCAATTATTTCAGAATAAAACTGCTGTTTACACAGTATGTTGCACTACTACAGTAGTAGTGTATTAGTTTAAACCATTTTTTCCCAGCTTCTACCAATATATTGACCCGTGTCCAGTTCTTTCATTTCACCTTGATTCTTTGCTGTTTAATTTTTAGAAAGTTAGGGGTGTGAAAACTTAAGAAATCTTTATATATTTTTTGTCTAGCCGAACGTGTAGTGGCATGAGTCTTCAGAGCGAAGGACAGGGCTATGCAGATGGAGCTTCATCAGAGTCTGATACAGATTTAGAGAGTGAAGAGGCTCGGGTTATAACAAGAAGAAGGAGCAACCAGGCAAGCACGACGTCTTGTAAATGTTTCCTCATGCATACGATCATAAACTGGTGGAATGACAAACTTCACTTTCCTTAATGTTATGAATTTTTAAAGATTTCAAACATTTTGTGTGAGCTGCAAATAACAGTCGGATATCGAACACAAGTCAAACAACAATTTATATTTCCAATATAAATAATTTTAGAAATTAATAACAAACGATTATTGCTAATGACTAAAACTACAAAAATTTTTTTTCCCTCATAATATTTTGCTGTCCTAAGCATACAAACTGATATGTGAGTTCTTTACAGTGTCAGCCATGATGGATTTTAAAAGTACCACGTGTTGTACTTATTCAGCCATGATGGATTTTAAAAGTACCACGTGTTGTACTTATTCAGCCATGATGGATTTTAAAAGTACCACGTGTTGTACTTATTCTGTGTATATCCGGTTAAGTCATTGCAACAGAATAGATGAGTTGGCTGAAAATCTGATATTTTGTCTGTAACCTTGGAAATTTTTAGAATATCACACTATAAAAATATAATTAGTACTGTAGTTGAACAAATGAGTGAACTTAATACGTTGAAGAAGTTACACCAATTTAGGTAATCGGTCGGAATGATCAGGGGTTTAGTAACATCTCGGCAGATGCAGTCGTTTATCTTTTGGGAAATGTTGATTTTTATCGGCCGTTTATCCTTGTAGAAAGGTTTTGTTTTTTAGCTGGATGTTTTATGTGATAGTAATATTGTTTTTATTTTGGGGTTTACTATGTAAAAACTTTAATTTGCTTATTTCCATAGTATTATTAATCTTGTGATTGAAAGGGTTTTAACAGAATGTCACCATAAGCTGCAGTGATATCAAAAGAAAAACTTAGTTTTGTGTTAATTGCTTATTTTATTTCTTATGCTTAATTTGTCTTGTCTTGAGTTAGTTTTATGGTATGTTAAATCCTTTAAGTATTTTTTTTTTATCTATTAACCCCCACAAATTACTGATACGTTTATTACTTTTTATTTTTAAACACCTTGTTTTAACTGTAGTTTTATTATATTCTGTTAAACAGACTCCTTTATAACTGTATTCATATTAAACATTTTTTATAATTTAAATGGTAAAATTCTTGTGGTTTCATGACATTTTCTCACTTGTAAAGGCTACTGGTTTGGAAAATGATCTTAGATAAAAAGTTAGTAAATAGTTGATTGAGTCATTTGTTACATTATTCCAAGTTTTGTTTATTTAAACTAAGTTCTTCATGCAATATTATAAAATTTTGTACCATATAAATTTGTATTTTTATTATTTTTAGGAGGAATATTATGATCCTAACCAGCCTTCTTGGATGTGTGAAAAATCTGAAAATGGCTCCTTTGAGCAACATGAAGCAACAGAAAATGAAGGGAAACGAAAACGTAGAACCAGTATTCCTGAAAGACCCAACTACAGTCTTAGTTTGTGGTCCATTATGAAAAATTGTATTGGAAAAGAACTGACAAAAATTCCAATGCCTGTGAGCTTTACACATTTTTTCTTCTTGTTTTGAAAATCAAAAACATTTTAATGGTAGAAATGCTGTTGTAAAATAAATTAATTTCACACTGCATGTTTGAGATCTTACATGCTTGACAATCAGAAAAGTTCAGATGTGCCAAACCAACTATTATGTTGATTATTATATAATATTCTAAAAATGTAAAAACAAAACAATATCAAATACTTTTCAAGAGAGTCTCTTATCAGAAGCATTCTTAGAAAGTGCTTGATGTTGCAAGTTATTTTGAATCTTTTTCATGCTGTGATCAGATTGTTTTCATTATTAGAAAGGATGGCCACAGTTTACCTTAGATTACTGTTTATATATATATAGGTGTGTGTGTGTACAGGAATAGAAAGTGAGGAAATTCTTAACATTAAAATTGCCTTTCGTTTATACTAATGTAGTAAAGGCTTCACTACATTAGTATAAACGAAGCCTTTACTACATTAGTATAAACGAAGCCTTTACTACATTAGTATAAACGAAGCCTTTACTACATTAGTATAAACGAAGCCTTTACTTCATTTATACTAATGTAGTAAAGGCTTCACTACATTAGTATAAACCTTTACTTCATTTATACTAATGT